ACTGCGTGCCTCCAGAGCCTGAACAGGGCTCAGGCAGTCCCTTGCTTGGGGCCCGAGGCACTGCTGCCCCTTCGGTTGCAGTTCCCCTGGGAGCTGGAGTCCCATGTCCAACGGCCTGGCCCTTTAGGATCAGATCTGTCTCCAGAGGCTTCACTCCTCCAAGAGGTTGAACTTCCTCAGCTCCCATCACCAATAGTGTGAGCCTTCTGGTTTATAGCATAAGCCTTCAGGAGCCCGGAACAAACGTACACGCACACAGTCCTTAAATAGCCCATTACTCTTCCTTGAAAAGCATGAAAATGCAGTTTATTTAGAAAAACCACAAAGCCCCTCAATTCGAGTTTATACTTCCCACAGTCTCGCCCCCACCCTTCAGGAAAACAAGGCTCTCTGCTTCTTGTAAGGATCCTACATCACCTCTCCTCACCTTAACCTTATGAAAATAAGCCCTCCACCAAATTAGAGCAGCTGCTTTCCACTTATAACCACCAATCAGGAGAGTCCCGATCAGCTAGCATCATAGAAGCCTGCCAAGTGAATTCATTGCCAAGCTGGGGTTCTCCCCCCACTCCCCGCCCCCCATAAATTCTTTCCCCAAGAAAGAGGTGACCCTAGTGTCATGTTCCTACTGTAATAGTATAGTAAATCAATTACCTTCCATGCTCAGCGCCCTGTCAACACCTCAAGGGAGTTTGGGCTAAGAGAACAGTAGGGCAGCAGAGGAAGCTGCGGTGGGCAGGGAGCAGGGGAAAGGGGGTCCACCTTCAAAATGGAGTTTGAAGTGTGACACAGGTACACCTGGAGCATTAATACCATCACACAACCTGCAGAACTCATACATATTCCCTCACATCATCACGCAAGAGACTTGGGCTCAGGCCTTAGATGGGTAGCAAAAGCAAAACAGCCCTGTACCCTGCCGCACCTTGTGCTCACACTAAATACCAGGGGGCTTCAGTCTGTCTCAGCTTCAACCTACCACACATTAGTTCAAAGTGACAGCATGGGAGACACTGGCTCAAGAAAAAAAAAATCTTCACCTCAAAAACAAATAAAAAAACAAACCCTGGATTTTAAGAACAGGTGGCTTCAATTAGCCAGAACACAATCTAGGTTGGAGCTCCTAAACCTGGAGTCAGCACAGGGAACCATAAAAACCTTCCCAGTTTCTCCAGAAGGCAGGTTTGGAAGAGCTTTCCCCATAAACCATAGCAGCAGGGAGGCCAGAAAGCAAATCGCTCCCTATAACATTACACATCTTTTGACTCCTAATTCAAGCTGACAATAGCACTATGCTGCCTCCTGCATGGGGAGGTTAGCAAACACCTGTGCTGACCTTAGGAAGCAGCCATGGAGAGCATTATCAGCACACCCAGCCCTTTCCTTTACTGGCAGCCAGGCCGTTATTGAGCAAAAACTCTTCTCCATTTCACCCATCTCTGGCCTGTCTCTTGCACATACAGAACAACCCTGATGCAATGAGGGAAGTAAAGAGCAAGGGAGTGAATAAGTGTGTTATGATGAGGGAATACCAGTAATTAGTACTAATTGTGTATAACTACAAAGGTATGAGGAAGACCTGAGGGTACTCCAGGTGCTTAGAGGTGGAGGGGAAAGCTCAGAAGAATGGCCTGGTAAATGGAGGCTCTCCTCACAAAGGCAACATTTGGGACTGTACCTCTGAGTACTGGGGATTAGCTGCACCCTGGTAGAGCTGCATGTAGGGGCCAAATGTGCTCAGCTTCAGGCTACATGCATTCAGCATGCAGTATTTCAAATGATGCCTGTATTGGCACCCACTGCTATGTGGGTATGACACAACTAACTGCAGGCACAAATGGCCTCAGTTGACTATAGAAGCTTTTGACCTCCAGAGTGAGATCATGTTGTTCTGGCACCCCAGAGAGGAAGCCAAGAAGAAGGACATGGCCAAGGATGCTCAAGGCTGAGGCCAGGCTAATTATAATGTCAGCAAACAAAGCAATTGACTCTTCATTACTCTCGTTTCAAGAGGCCACCCTGTAGATTGTCACTCCAGTCAATACACTGCAGGAGCCCAGTCCTTGGCCCTGTCTGGAGAGAGCATCCATGTAAATGCCTGAATGCTCTGGGTCCTGTGGGCTCCGTTTAGCTTTTGCTCTAGTTCTTTTTTGCTGAGGAGCTGTCCTGCTGCTTGCCCAGATCCTGCTCCCCGTGACTGTTGCTACTTGAACGCAGCGTGCAGTTCCACTCACCCACAGAAACGCTGGTTGCCTCAGGTGCACCTGATCTGGGAGACTGCCCAGTCTGCAGGCATTCTTTAGACAGAGATAAGCTGACATTTCACCTTCTGCCTTTTCTGAATGAAAAACTCCACACCTCCTAGCACCACTGCCTAGAAAGTAGCATGCTGTGATTTGCTCCCTTACCTTCTGGGGCTGCACTATAACACCACCGCACATCTCACCTGGCACCTGAATCATACTGTCAGGTGGCCAGCCGGGTCTTCACTATTAACTCTAGTGACCCAGGGAGTGGCTTTGTAGTTTCCAGGCTGAATTTGGAGGATGACAAACTTGCTTCATTAGCTGTATGGTCAGCAATGTTCCGCTGGCAGATGCCTTTCCCTTAGAAACTGAAGCAACTTCCGCTCCCTTTTTGCATGTAGCAAGACCAATGGCATGCAGACCTGGGCCTCTGAGAGGTTCTGGCATAAGGCAATTGAGACTGCTGGCTGGCTCATGCAGTGGCTCGTGTTACACAGTACTGAGCACTTAGAACTCACTTTCAAACTCACCTTGGCTCTGAATGTTTCCTGAACAACAGGCAATACATCACCCTCACCTGCCCTCTTTTTCCTCCTAACAGGAAGAGACGGAGAACCCTATAGCACTGACACCCACATCACTGTCCCCATGTCAGGAGACTTCAGCTGGATTAGCTCCCATGGGATCACTCACAAGAGTATTCCTAATCAGTCTGACCTCAAATGTAATTCTGCCTGCTGGGAATAGAGTCACTCACTTCCTGCATGAAAATGCCCCTGCCCATAGTGCTCATGGGACTGTGTCTTGGATGACCATTGTTTCTAAGTCCTTGCACAGCAGAGAACCAGCTTATAGCATCTGAAGGTGTACAGTATGGATTAGATCCTAGGAACAGCGTGGACTCACGAAATTCCTCTGCTCAGTACTTTTGGTGTGCACATGCTCATGTTGCAGATCTTGTGCCCCAGGCAAAGTCATAAGAATAGTATAATCTTTGCCCTCAGACCACTCTTGCAATACTATGCAAACCCTTTATTAACTCTCATGATTTCACTTTGAAAGGGGGTCATGTTCCAGCAGATTTGCTAATCAGAATGCACATTCCTCATGCCAGTGCCACCTGCATGACACATTCAGCCTTGAGGAGCTTGTGGGAAGATCTGACCTTCATTTAAATTCAGATACCAAACAGGACAGCTAAAGGGCATGCAGCTGCAGATAGACAGGGAGAGGCTTCACATCTGTACAGTGAAAACAAAGAGCACAGAGATACCAGGTTTACAGGAAATCTTTATTGTTTTTAATTACAGAAGCTTTAATGCACAATTTAAGGCCAGTGTCTATGAAAAGAAGCTGCGTGTTTTCCCCTCAGCTGGACAGAAGCTCAGGGTAAGGGAAGGCCAAGAGCCTGGCCTCTTGAATTAAAATGTGTTCCCTCTCCTTAGGTCTCTATACAGGCATTTATACTGTGTTCACCATAGTAATATCCAAGTGACTTTGAGGAACATCCTTCCCCCCTCTACTACTTCCTCTCATGTCAATCATTTCTCCTGTATCAGGGAACAAAAGACATGACCATAGTGACTTCAAAAACAGGCCTTGAATCTAGTCTAGCAGGCAAAAGTTTGCTGCACTTGCATCAATGTCACATAGCCAGTAACTCTAGGGCAGAGATACTATGAGGTAAGGAGAGCAGTATTTTCCTCACTGCTGTCAAGAAAAATCCTCAGGTAACACAGATGCCTCTGTAGTCACCATACACGCTTAAATTATGTGGAAGAGAAAACTTGCAGTTACCTTGTGCCTCCCTGTTCTCATCTGAACATTAAGCACTTCAAGAATTTGTAGAGACCAAAAGAAAAGCTATAAAATCAAGGGTTTTAAAAAAATGTCATTCAGCTTTGAAATCCCACAATGTTTAGAATGGACTAAAAAGTATCAAAGAGTTAGGAAGCAGTGTTAAATTTAGTGAAGTTAGTGTTTTAAAATGGCTACCAAAGGACCCTCCCCCCACCCCCCCCAAACTATACCAGAGAGACAGGTGCTGAGACAGCTAAGGGACAGTTCTTGCCAAACCAGATGTGTTTTAAGTTGTCCTTTTCTTGTCTTACAATGATCAGGCACCTGGGACCAGATTCCCAGTTGGCATAAGTTACCGTAACCACAGGGCCTTTGTCAATTTACACCAAATGAGCATCTGGCCCTAAGAGTTTATTTCAGGTTGTTTGCAGACACGCACAGCCAGCCTTTCCTCTCCAGAGGACATAAGAACAGTTCCAATACAGAACCATTCTTTTTCACTTACATGGTTAGGATAATTTAGGATGTGATTCTTAAATGAGCCTAAGGGATTTACATGACCAAATCCCATTCGGTTTCAGTTCCTAAATCCCTTAGGCTGATCTGAAAATCTGAACCTTCCTTCTCTAGCCACAAGTATGGGCAAAGCACTCAAGATCATTGCAGTAGAATCCAACACCAATCCATCACAAAATGTCAATGCGATCAGTCTGCTCTAATCTATTTTTGCTTTTAGTCAGACAAACTGCTATTTATTCATATAAAAAAACAGCCCACTGTATGCCACTCCCCTCTATCTACCTAAGGACATTCCACCCCACGGCTTCCAATTCACAATGCACTGTATATTCTTAGGGCTGACCGAGTTAATGCTGAAGATGAGTTTTACAAATGGCAGCAGGATTGCAAATCAGCAG